CCGCTGCGTAGCCTGGTCGTCAGCCCAAGAAGCGTCTGCGTGCCCAGTGAGGACCACTGAACTGCGCCCTCCAAGCACTAGCCCCATGCCCGACGTACTGCACAAGTAGCGCAACACCCTCTTCGCTGCAGCCATGTGCTCTGGTCGGTGTCTCCCAGGAGCAAAAAAGCGTGCGAGAATGCTAAGAGGGTATGCGAGGTCAGGTCGTGTGCAAGTCATCAGGTACATGAGGCAGCCAACAAGCTCTGCAAACGGGCCACTCGACTCTACGGACTCATCCGAAGGCAGAGCTGAGAGCGAGTGGCGAGTAGGCAGAGGAGTGGCCTGAGGCGAGGAGTACGTGAAGCCGAAGCGCTGAAGGACCTGCTGCACCATGTGTGACTGAGTCAGGGTAATGGTGCGGCGTGCTCTGTCCCGGGTGATCTGCAAGCCAAGGTAGCTGCGCAGTTCACCCAGGTCAGTGCACGTGTGTCTCTTCTGTAGCTCGGACTTCACGTAGGCGAGTCCAGCAGTGTCAGCTGTGGCAAAGACCAAGTCGTCGACGTACACGAGGATGTAGAACGCCGGCAGAGAGGTGTCGGTGCGCAGAAACAGCGACGGGTCGGCAGTAGAAGGAGCAAACCCAAGTGCCGCGAGCGTAGTCCTCAGTGTGTCGTGCCACTCACGTGGCGCCTGGCGGAGACCGTAGACTGGACGCCGAAGACTCCACTGGGTGCCAGGAGGGAAAGACCCAGTGAAGCCCCACCCCCGCCTCCACCGCAACCCCCGTCTCCACCGCCACCTCCCCCACCAGGACCGTCGCTCCCACCGCTCCCACCGCCTCCTCCGCTACCACCTCCGCCGCCACCTCCGCCTCCACCGCCGCCACCAGTACCTCCACTCCCGCCACCACCCCCACCGCCACCCCCACTCCCCCCGCCACCCCCACCGCCTCCTCCACCGCCCCCTCTAGCTCCACCCGCTCCCTTTCCCCCCTTGCCCTTGCCAGAGCGGCGTCTGCCGCTGGGGGCAGACGCCGCGCCGACCGACTCAAAACCAGTGAGGTCGGCCGCAGCGGCAGAGGCGACAGAGGGCAGCAGGGGGGAAGGACCACACCCCTCAAAGATGGGGGTGCGAGGGTCACCCCGAGAGGCCCCTACAGCGACAATACTCTTCTCAGCCGCTAGCAAGGACTCCTCAAGGAGGTCCACAGTGAGAGTGGTGGGACAGACAGAGAGAAACTGGTCCCTAACAACACGAAGGGACTCAGGGAGACGGGTGACGAGAAAGTAGAGAGTGATGTACATGGGAGGAGGGTTCGCAGCGCGGAACTCAGCAGGAAGGGCAGCGCGGTAGCGGGTGTCACTAGCACGGAGGTGGGTAACGAGGTCAGCGACAGTGGGAAAGGAAGCGAGGTCAGGGAAGAGAAACGGTAGCATGAGGCGGCTAAGGGTAGCGGAGGAAGGGGAGGAGTAGCGTGCAACTACAGCGTCGTACAAGGCTTGAGCGGTCTTGCACTGACTAAAGTGGGCACGCTCAGAGGAAGGGAGGTGGCGACGCACAGCAAGACGTGCAGCAGCATCGCGGGTCGCCCACTTGGAGCAAACGGCAGAGTCAGCATCAGCAGGTGGGGCAGGGACAGCGCCAGAGACAAAGTCAAAGAGAGAGACCTCATCTATCGCATCACACAGTAAGTACAGCTGCAGGTCTTCAATCCAGACGGCAAAGTCAATGGCCCTCCCCTCAGCGTCAAAAGTAAGAACATTGGGGGTGGCCATGGCAGCAGCTGAAAGTCTCACCGGGCTGGGAGAGTCGGGTAGGTCAGCAGCAGAGGAACACAGCTCAGGAACAGCACGGCTCCTCAGGCGGCTCGGGCGGCTCGGGCGGCTCGGGCGGCTCGGGCGGCTCGGGCGGCTCGGGCGGCTCGGGCGGCTCGCGCGGCTCGGGTGGCGTAGGGGCTGCTCACGTGCAGCACGGCGGGCTGCAGCAGGGGCCGCGGGGAGGGCTGTAGCGGGGCTGACGGCGGGCTGTAGAGGGGCCGGGGCGGGCTGTAGCTGGGCCGGCGGCGGGCTGTAGCTGGGCCGGCGGCGGGCTGTAGCGGGGCCGGGGCGGGCTGTAGCTGGGCCGGCGGCGGGCTGTAGCGGGGCCGGCGGCGGGCTGTAGCAGGGGCCGGTGGCGGGCTGTAGCGGGGCCGGGGCGGGCTGTAGCTGGGCCGGCGGCGGGCTGTAGCAGGGGCCGGCGGCGGGCTGTAGCGGGGCCGGCGGCGGGCTGGAGCTGGGCCGGCGGGCCGTAGCTGGGCCGGCTGCGGGCTGTAGCTGGGCCGGGGGCGGGCTGTAGCTGGGCCGGCGGCAGGCTGTAGCTGGGCCGGCGGCGGGCTGTAGCAGGGGCCGGTGCGGGCTGTAGTGGGGCCGACAGCAGCTGAAGCGGGGCCGGCGTAGGGCCGTGGCGGGGCCGACGAGGTCAGTGCGGGGCCGACGAGGGGCCGAAGTGGGGCCTAGGCGGGCCGGCGGGGCCTAAGCGGGGCCAACGCGGGGCCGGCGGGGCCTAAGCAGGGCCAACGCGGGGCCGACAGGGTCTAGGCGGGGCCGACGCGGGGCCAAAGCGGGGCCGAAGCGGGGCCGACGGGCCTAAGCGGGGCTACGCGGGGCCGACGTGGGGCCTAAGCGGGGCCGACGAGAGCTACGCGGGGCCGACGAGGGGCCTAGGCGGGGCCGACGAGGGGCCCAAGCGGGAGCACGACGGGGAGGGCGACACGGAGGGTCGCTAAAAAAAATGCGCGCCTCGGGGCGCGCTTCGGTGGGCCCTAGGAACAGGCCCTAAGAAGAGACCTGCTCTGATTCCATGAGAAAGTGTGAACGAGAATGGATGCACTATGGAATGTAGTGGGTACAAATATGAAACCCTAATTGGGTTGTACCCCCTATGGGATACCCCACTATAGCCTACAGAAACAAGTAAGCTATATGTTCTCACAGTTATATATCAAGGAGAACAAGCAGTACAGTGATCTCAACCTAATAAGTGTAAGCATGCAGGTGCAGGTATATATAGATCACAGTACAAGCAAAGTCAAGAGGTGAGCAAGTGAGGCCAGGTAGGTAGAAGACATAGAATAGTACAGAAACGCTGATGATCACAAGGCTGAAGTGCCTTGGTAAGGATATCAGCAGTGTTGGCCTGAGTGGCCACGTAAGCAAGACAAAGCTGACCACGCCGCTGCAACTCTCGAGCAAGGAAGTAGCTCAGAGCAATGTGCTTCGTTCTGTGCTCCAGTCTGTGCTCCTGACACAAGGCAATCATGGCCTTCTTGTTGACGTATAGAATTGGAGGAGAACGAGGCGTCTCTCCCAAGTCGGTCAGCAAGTAGGTGAGCCAGCGTAACTCCTGTGCAGCCATGGCCTCTGCGTAGATCTCAGCCTCACAAATGGAGCTGAGAATAGAAGACGAGCGGGTAGACCGCCACGAAAAAAAGCCGGAACCAAGGTTGAAATTGTATCCCTGTGACGACCGCTGCGTAGCCAAGTCGTCAACCCAAGAAGCGTCTGCGTGACCAGTGAGGACAACTCGAGCCCGTCCTCAAAGCACGATCCCTATGCCCGACGTACTGCACAAGTAGCGCAACACCCTCTTTGCTGCATCCGTGTGCTCTGGTCAGTGTCTCCCAGGAGCAACATGTTAGAGACTAACGACGAGGTCTACAAAGATTAGGGGCCTAAATATCTCAAAATCGTTGGGCCTAGTTTCTGGACAGAAAATTCGAGTTCACACGAAACGCCGGCGACGAAAAGTTCACGATCAAAACTTCACTAAACTCAATATGTTGTAGCCCTAGTTCGTGGCTACAATTCCCAATTTGAATCGTATGATAATGTGAAGTATTTCTTTAGTTATGAATTTCGGCGCACTAGGGGGTAAGCTGCCATAGAATCTTAACTCAATCACAATTGTCTCACAATTTCATACAAGAAAGTTGGAGTGGCAAGAAACCAGGTAGGAGGGAATGAGGAGGACGAGAGGGAAGGTCCCAAGAGAGTCCCCAACAAAGGAAACCCTCATACCACACAATTCCCCTCTCTCTAGGCAACCCAACTTTGACCTTTGTCACTTTCCCAACCTCCACAATCCACCTCACCCAAGTTGGCCACACTTGCCAACCCAATTTGGTTTCTCCCAACCACTTGGCAGCATCTACAGTGATGGGGACGAATTTCCCAACCCCCAAAAGTCTGTACCCCTTATGGAGTCAACTCCACAACTTCCCTTAGTCACCACAACCAAATATCAAAAGCATACGAACTTCCAACGTTTTGCAACTTTCTTGTTCGTGCTCCGATTGAAGCGATACTTGGTTCGTCGGAAAGCTCTTGAGCAGAGGTCTCACTTCAGATATCCGCTCAATCCAAATAACATTCACACACTCTCAGAGAATCCAAAGCACAGAAAACAGAAATTCTTGCACACGCTCACACCACGCATGCAACGCACGAACATATGATGGGAGGCAGACAGACGTGAATGCAGATGATAGCATCACATAACAAACTCCCCCTCTGGCTGCCTACCATCATCCCACATGCCATAGCTCAAGCATGCACACTCAATGTACACTCATCCCAGCAAGCTTCATGCCCTTCCAATAGTCAGATTCAGCCAAGCGCTTGGTGAGAATGTCAGCCGCCTGCTGATGGGTCTTCACAACCTCCAGTCGCAGCTCCTTGTCCAGGAGCCTCCTCACCCAATGGCCTTATGTGTTTGGTCAACCCATGAAGACAAGCATTCTTGGCTAACTTCACTGTTGATTCATTGTCATCGAACATCACATTCGCCTCCCTCTGGCACACTCCGATCTCCTCCAACGGATGTCTCAACCACACTACTTCCTTTGCCCCATGATGCAGGGCCATGTACTCTGTCTCACACGAGGACTGCCCCACCTCAATCTGCTTCTTGCTGTGCCAGCTCACTGCACCACCTCCAAACAGGCACACATAGCCTCCAATGCTTGTGCCATCCGCTTTCACCTAGTTGAAGGTAGCGTCGGTGTAGCACGTCAAGAGCCTCTCCCCCTTGCTCAAATCAACTGCACCTCTCTGCAGCCTCTGTCTCACAGCACTGTACTCCAAACCCACTGATGCTGGAGCACTCACATTGCGGACCAACCTCTTGGCCGCTTCCAGCTGCTCATGACTGGGGCGTGAAACCACACCAGCAAGCCTGGATGTTGCAAAGGCAATGTCAGGCAGCGTATGGTTAGCCGCATAGTTGAGCGCCCCGGCCATGGAGTGAAGTAGCTTCCTCTCACTCTCACCCACCACCTCTTCATCAACACAGGGCTCCACTGTGAACCCTAAAGGCAGTTGGGTGGCTGGCTTTCCTCCATCTTGCAGCCCATACTTCTCGGCCAGCCCCTCATAGTACTTCCTCTGGTGCAACCTCAACACTCCCTTGTCAAGGTCCCTCTCCACATGCATCCCAAGGTAATACTTCACATCTCCCTTCTTCGAGCACTTGAACTGCACCTCGAGCATCTCCTCCACACGCTCAATCATCGCAGATGAGTCAGAGAAGAGCAAGATGTCGTCCACATACACCAGGAGCATGAGAAAGTGCTCCTTCTCTTGCAGCAGGAACAGGCTTTGGTCAAACTCACTCTTCTTGAACCCCCCAGCCAGCAGTGTCTCCTCCAGCTTGTGGTACCAGGTGCGAGGAGCCTGCTTCAGGCCATACATGGCCTTCTTCAGCCTGCACACCCTGCCGCACCCATCATCCAATCCCTCAGGCTGTTTCATGTACAGCTCCTCCAGAATGATCCCATTGAGGAAGGCGGTGGTAATGTCCATCTGCTTCACCCGCCATCCACGGTTTGCTGCCATTGCCAATGACACCCGTAGTGTCATGCCTTTCCCCACAGGAGCAAAGATCTCGTCAAAGTCCTTCCCCTTTGTCTACTGAAACCCCTTAGCCACAAGCCTTGACTTGTAGTGGGTCAGCGCCCCATCAGGTACGTACTTGTGCCTGAAAATCAGCTTGGAAGAAATGCCCTTCTTCCCAGGTGGCAGCTCACACAGCTCCCACGTCTCGCTCTCCAGTAGAGAGTCATATTCCTCCTTCACACTCTGCTTCCATTTTTCAGCATCTGGCCCACTCAATGCCTCAGCTAGCGTCTTGGGCTCAAGGACGGCTGCCCAGTAGCAGTGTGCTATCTCCTCCTCATCGCACTGCTCAGCCACACTCCCAGCCCTTAACACCATCGGCTTGCCAATGCTCGGATAGGTCAGCCGGTTAGGAGGGCGCACATCCCTCCTAGGACGGACAGCCGGACGTGCGGCACCTTGTGGAGCACCTTGCTGCTGCTGCAGCAGTAGTAGCTGCTGCTGCTGCTGCTCCTCCTCCTCCTCCACCCCAGGTTCTCCCCCATCCTCAGTCACCCCAGAGATTTCATTCTCAGAGACAGAAACCTCCACTTGCCTCGAAGGCCGCTGCATCTCATTGGCCTCAACAATCAGCGGTGTTGTAGGAAGCTTCTGCTGCTTCTGCTTCCACTCCTTGTAGTACAAGGACTCGAGGAACTTCACATCCCTTCACACAGTCAGCTGCTGGCTGGTCAAGTCCCATAGCAGCCAGCCCTTGTGATCCTTTGCAAGTCCCAAATGCACACCCCATCTCCCAGAAGCCTCCAACAATACCCTCTTCTCCTTAAGCACATGAAACACCATCATTCAGCCGAACGCTCTCAGCATGTTGACTGCTGGTGCACTCCCATACCACTTGGTGTAGGGGACCCACTGCTTGTCCCCCACAGTCGCCAGCACCCTGTTCTTCACAAGGGCGACCTGCCGCACTGCAGTCACCCAAAACGGATCCGGCAGCCCTGCACGCCCAAGGAGAGTGCGAGCACCTTCCTGCAGGGTCCAGTTGAACCACTCAGCCACGCCGTTCAGCTGAGGGTTGTAGGGCACCGTGAGCTGATGCTGGATCCTCTTCTTCTTCAGCACCGCCTCAAAATCAGCGCCAATGAATTCTCCCCCGTTGTAAGTGCGGATCACCTTCACTTTGTGTCCGCTCTCCCTTTGAGCTCTCGGCATCCACTCCTTGAGAACATCCGCTGCCACCTCCCCCTTGGTCTTGAGAGGGTACACCCACACCGCACGCGTGTGGTCGTCCACTATCGTCAAGAAGTAGCGGCTGCCCGAGAGAGAAAGGGCCCTCGTGGGGCCCACCACATCCATGTGCACTAGTGCAAGTGGAGCCTTGGCTGGTCCTGTGCTGCTGCTGAAGGGAAATTTTGTGAACTTGGTCTCAAGGCATGTAGGACAGCTCCCAATCTCCTTTGCTGCCCCCTTCACCTCCAGCCCCTTCAAGCACCCATCCTTCAATAACTTCTGCAACATAGGGATGTTGATGTGACACAACCTCTCGTGCCACGTCTCACAATTGGCCCCACCGCTCCCAGATGAAGCCTTTGCCCATGGAGCGCTCCCATCCACACCAGCAAGCACCTCAGCATGTGAATGCTGTGGCTGCTGCACCTTCTTGACTACATCCAGGGCCCCAGCAATTGGTGCAGTCTCCTCTCCTCCCGCAGCTATTTTAGCCGTTGCCACTGCCGCTGCCGTTGCTGGTGGTTTCCCATTCCAAGGAATGATGGGCAGCTGCCAGAGGTCCTTCATGCAGCTGCTCTTCTCCTCCAAGTCCCACATCAACAACTTCCCAAGCTTTGCACGGCAGCTGGTTGGGCCGAAAGTCACTTTGACCTTGCTTTTCTGCAGCCGGCGAACAGAGAGGAGGTTAGCGGACAAACTTTCAACCAACAGCTCATTCCCCAGCCCCACAAGCCCCCCATTGGCTCCCATAACCTTGGCATTCCCAACACCAATCACAGGGAGCGAAGCACCTCAAGCGGCAGCCACAAACTTGATCTTCCCTGGCGGTTTTACCTCGTCAAGGAAAACTGCCCGTGGGGTCATGTGACTTGTGCAACCTGAATCTATCACCCAGTTGGTGAGGGGGTGCATCACAACCTTCCCAACTGAACCCACATCACCCCCACTCCCTTGCACATCCTCAACCATGAGGAACATCCCAGGGTCAGCTTTACCTTGTGCACGATCACCTTGTGCACCAGAACCTTGCACAGCGCCACCTCGTGCACGTTCACCACCTGGCGGCTTCATGCCTGGGGGCGCCCATTCCTCAGGCCGGCAGAAACACTTGAACCATGGGTGTCCAGCCTTCTTGCAGTACCAGCACACACCCTCCATTCAGGTGCTCGCCCTGCCACCAGAGCTCCCATGCCCCTCATTGTAGTCACCTCGGCCTCTCCCTCTGCCAAAGCCTCTCCCACGGCCTCGACCTCTCCCTCCCCCTCTTCCTCTGCTGCCTCCTACAGCTCCATACCCCTCAGCAGATTTGTTGGCAGCACCACCTCCCGTGTGGCGTCTGCGGAAGTCCTCCAGCAAGATCTGCTGCCGTAGCCACTCAGGCGTCCACTTGTCCTGCTGAACGTTGAGGGTGGGGATGAGGTTGTCTCACGAGTTGTCGAGCACCGAGATGATCTTGGTGCATTGCTGCATCTGCGACACCTCGCTGCCCGCCGCTGCCATCCTCGCATATGTGTCCTTGATCTTGTCAAGGACCGGCTTCACATCATCTCCCGATCGCATGGAGATGGCCACCAGCTCCTTCTCGAGCACGATCACCATGGGCAGCGTGTTTGGCTAAATCACGTCGTGCAGTAGCTTCCACGCCTTTGGACCAGAATCTTCCAACTCGACCAAGTCCTTGATGTGCTGGAACATGTCGTTGTTGACCGATTACAAGATGAGGTCGAACAACACCGTGCTCCGCTCGATCCACCGCTCGATCCACCGCTCCTGAGCATCTCCTTCCTCTGGCATCTTCTCTTCTCTCATCGCAAGTTCCAGCAGCTCGTAGCGCTTGAAGACGCTCCTCATCCGCCCGCTCCATTCCTCGTAGTTGGAGCCATCCAACGCCTCAATCTTGGATGTTGGCGACTCACTCCTCTTCTCAGCTGCTTCTCCACTCCCTTGACTCATCTCCTCAGCTTCCAATCACAGGTTTCAGGTCCCCCCTTTGCTGTCCACACTGTAGTCCCACAATATTTTCACAAGTGTCGGCGCCAACAAAATTTCGGCAGAGTTTCGCTTTAGCGCAAGTCACATCCAACCTCCAGAACTCCACTTAGGCATGCCCACAGGCCATGGTGGGTCTTCACAATTCAGTAGACTCCCCAGAAGGTCCTTAATCAGCTCTGATACCATTTGTTAGAGACTATGGACGAGGTCTACAAAGATTAGGGGCCTAAATATCTCAAAATCGTTGGGCCTAGTTCCTGGACAGAAAAGTCGAGTTCACAAGAAACGCCGTTGACAAAACGTGCAATGTCAAAACTTCACCAAACTCAGATATGTTGTAGCCCTAGTCCGTGGCTACAATTCCCAATTCGAATCGTATGATAATGAGAAGAATTTCTTGAGTTATGATTTTCGGCGCACTAGGGGGTAAGCTGCCATAGTATCTTAACTCAATCACAATTGTCTCACAATTTCACACAAGAAAGTTGGAGTGGCAAGAAACCAGGAAGGAGGGGATGAGGAGGACGAGAGGGAAGGTCCCAAGAGAGTCCCCAACCAAGGAAACTCCAGACCACACAATTCCCCTCTGTCTAGGCAACCCAACTTTGACCTTTGTCACTTTCCCAACCTCCACAATCCACCTCACCCAAGTTGGCCACACTTGCCAACCCAATTTGGTTTCTCCCAACCACTTGGCAGCATCTACAGTGATGGGGACGAATTTCCCAACCCCCAAAAGTCTGTACCCCTTATGGAGTCAACTCCACAACTTCCCGTAGTCACCACAACCAAATATCAAAAGCATAAGAACTTCCAACGTTTCGCAACTTTCTTGTTCGTGCTTTGATTGAAGCGACACTTGGTTCGTCGGAAAGCTCTTGAGCAGAGGAGTCACTTTAGATATATGCTCAAGCCAAATAACATTCACACACACTCAGAAAATCCAAAGCACAGAAAACAGAAATTCTTGCACACGCTCATACAACGCATGCAACACACGAACATATGATGGGAGGTAGACAGACGTGAATGCAGATGATAGCATCACATAACACAACATAGTGTGCCAGGATGCTAAGAGGGTATGCCAGGTCAGGTTAAGTGCAGGTCATCAGGTACATGAGGCAGCCCACAAGCTCAGGGTACGGGCCACTCGGCTCTACGGACTCATTCGAAGGCAGAGCTGAGAGAGCGAGTGGCGAGTAGACAGAGGAGTGGCCTGAGGCGAGGAGTACGTGAAGTTGAAGCGCTGAGGGAGCTGCTGCACCATGTGTGACTGAGTCAAGGTAATGGTGCGCCGTGCTCTGTCCCGGGTGATCTGCAAGCCAAGATAGCTGCGCAGCTCACCCAGGTCTGTGCACGTGTGTCTCTTCTACAGCTCCGACCTCATGTGGGCCAGTCCAGGAGTGTCAGCAGTAGCAAAGACCAAGCCGTCGACGTACACGAGGATGAAGAACGGCGGCAGAGTAGTGTCGGTGCGAAGAAACAGCGACGGGTCAGCAGTGGAACGAGCAAACTCAAGAGCCGCAAGCGTAGTCCTCAGTGTGTAGTGCCACTCACGAGGTGCCTACAGAGACCGTAGACTCGCCGTGGGAGGCTCCACTGGGTGCCAGGAGGAAACGAACCTGTGAAGCCAGGAGGGCTGCGTAGCCAGATCTCCTCGTGCAGGCTGCCCTATAGGAAAGCCGTGCTGAAGTCAAGAGAGTGAAGCTCGTAGTCACACTGCGCGCCGACGTGCAGCTGCACCCGAAGAGTGGTCATCTTTGGGGTAGGGGAGAAGGTCTGGAAGAAGTCAACTCCCTGTCGCTGATTGAAGCCTCGTGCAACGTAACGCGCCTTGAAGACAGGCGGAGAGCCCGGCGGCCGCTTCACCCTGAAAATCCACATGCCATCAACAATGTTCGCCCCAGGTGGGGGAACCTCGTCAACGTAAGTGCCTGTGGACTTCTAGGAAGCCATCTCTGTGTCCATGGCTGTCTATCACTGAGAGGAGTAGGGACCCTCTGTGAGGATCTGGGATCGAGCTCAGAAAAGATGATTCAAATTGAATTGAATTGAATTGAATTGAATGTCCACCTGGGTACAACACGAGGCTATATATAGGCTCGACACAAGGCCCGATAACCAGGTGTTACGCGAAGGTTCAGCGGGTCGCGAAGCGTCCCGAACAGATCCTTACCGAATTCGGTAGAAGGCAATTCGGTGGCAACCGAAAAGCCAGAATTCGGTGCACGCAACCTAGCTCGGTGCTATAACTATAATAAAATATAGGAAAGCACCTAGCCTAGGAAATCAAGCAATTCATGCATGCATATGATTATCCTATGCTAGAAATAGCATGATAAAGTAGAGGCAAGAAAGCATAGCTGGCATAAGCCGTCGTACTCTCACACGTCCCCCCCTCAAAGCTGGGTGGCGTGAGATACACCCTGCTTGACAAGATAGTCCTTGAGAGCACGGCGTACGTTGCCCATATCAGCTTCTGCAACCCACCTGTCCCCAGTGGGGTCGTATCCCTTCCAGCGTATCAGGAACTCGAGAGTCTTGCCACCGCGGCGCCGATGAGAGAGAACGCGCTCGATCTCGTACTCGGGTTCATCCTGTATGAGAACAGGTGGTGGTGGCGGTAGTTGCCGTCCCTGGAACTGGTGGTTGGGGTCCTTGTAGGGCTTCAGTAGCTGGACATGGAAAGCGTTGTGAAGCTTCCATGTATCTGGTAAGCGCAAGCGGAATGTAACTGGTGTCACATGTGCCTCAACGAGAAAAGGACCACAGAAGCGAGGCCGGAGTTTGGATGGGAGGTGAGAAAGGTTCAAGTTGCGCGTGTCAAGAAGCACCTGATCTCCGACTGCTACTGAGTGATCACGTCGCTGACGATCGGCGTACTGCTTCTGGGAGTTCTGCATCGTGGTGAGACGTCGCCGAGTCTTCTCCCATAGCTGCTGCATGGTGGTGACGAAGTCATGTGCGGCTTGGACGTGTGCCGTTGTAGTTGGCTGCTGTGGTGTGAGTGGTTCCCGTCCGTAACACATGAAGAAAGGAGTTTTCCCTGTGGCCGCATGTGATGCGTTGTTGTAAGCGAACTCTAGGGTCGGTAACTGTGTGTCCCAGTGGCTGACGTCGTCCTTGCAAGCTGTGCGCAGTAATTGTTCAACCACTTGATTGAGTCGCTCTGTCTGTCCGTCAGTCTGGGGGTGGTATGCTGAAGACATTGCAAGCTTTGTCCCCAACAGTCCCATGAGCTCCTTCCAGAACTTACTCGTGAATTTGGGGTCTCTGTCTGAGATGAGTGTAGCGGGGATGTCGTGGATGGTGATGATGCGGTCGAAGAAGAGTCGAGCAGTTGCTTCAGCTGTAGCTGTGGCGTTGGTCGGTATGAAGTGACCCATTTTGGAGAACTTATCGATCACCACGAGGATGGAATCATGTCCCCGTGAGGTCGAAGGAAGTCCTGTGATGATGTCAAGGCTAACGACCTGCCATGGCTGCTCCGGTACGGGTAGAGGCTGAAGTAACCCTGCTTTTTTCTGCTTGCTGCTCTTCATCCGCTGGCACGTGTCGCAAGAGGTGACGAACGGCTGCACGTCTGCTGCCATCCCGGGCCAGTAGTAATACTTCGCTATCCCTGCTAACGTCTTGTTGCTCCCGAAATGTCGTGCGTAAGGTACGTCGTGAAACTCCTCCAAAAGGATCTGCTGTAGCCGTGCGTAATTCGGTACCCAAATCTTTCCTGAACCCTTCCTTACAGCTAAGTCTTTCTCCCACTGTAATAGCTTCTTGGTCTGTGCTGTAGCAATCTCCGCGTCCACGGAGTACCCATGTTGGAATAGACCCTTGAGCAGAGGGTTCATCCCGTCGAGCTGGATGCCTGCTACATGTCCGGGGCAGCTCAACGCGTCTGCCTTGTTGTGTAGCCCGGGCTTGTAGACGATGTCGTAGTGGAAGTGAGTTTCCAGGAAGTCCACCAACCGCACCTGTCGTCGTGAGAGTGTCGGCTGTGACTTCAGGTATTTGAGACTGCAGTGGTCAGTATAGACTGTAGTCTTGGCTCCCTCAAGGTAACACCTCCACGCCTTGAAGGCTATGACTATCGCTAAGGCTTTCTTGTCGTGAATGGGGTAGTTTAGTTCTGCTCCGTGTAGCTTCTTACTGAGGTAGGCGATGGGCTGCAAACCGCGTCCGTGATCCTGCATCAGTACTGCTCCGACTGCTTGGTCACTAGCGTCTGCTTCCACCACGTAGTCCTTGTCTGGATCCGGCAAGATGAGTACTGGCGCTGTAGTCAGTGCTGTCTGTAGCTGCTTCATGGCTTGCTGATGAAGGGTATCCCATTTGTAGGGCGTATCCTTTTTCAGTAGGTCGGTCAGTGGCGCTGCTATCTTAGCGTACTGGGGCACGAACCTGTTGTAGTAGTTGGCGAAGCCTAGGAACTGCTGTAACTCCTTCACGCTCTCTGGTACTTTCCACTTCTTGACGGCTTCGATCTTCTGTGGGTCCACGTGTACGCCCTCGGCACTCACCATGTGCCCGAGAAACTGCACCTTCTTCAGGGCGAAGTCGCTCTTTGACAGCTTCACGTAGAACTTGTTTTTCCGCAGGATCTCGAACACCTTCCGCAGATGCCCCACGTGCTCCTTCATGTTCTTGGAGTAGATGAGAATGTCGTCTAGGTATACCACCACGCACTCATCCAGCAGGGGTCGTAAGATGTGATTCATCTCTGCCTGAAACGTTGCTGATGCGTTGCAGAGTCCGAACGGCATCACCAAGTATTCGTAGGAGCCGTATCTGGTACGGAACGTTGTCTTGTGGACGGAGTTGTCTGCCATCTTGATCTGCCAGTAGCCCGATCGTAGGTCCAGTTTCGAAAATACTGTTGCTCCACGCAGTTGATTGAGTAGGTCGTCTATGCGCGGTATGGGATATTTGTTTTTGACTGTCTGTTTGTTCAGTGCGCGGTA